GAGACCTGCTCAGCTAGCTGCTTTCTGCATGAATACTGAAGGCACGTGGAGATCACATGTTCGGGAGCAAAGAACTTGGCAGTACTGGTTGTATCTCATGAAAGTTTAATTTCCTACTGGGAAAACTAAGGCTCGTTTAGGGTTTTTCTTTTCATAGAATTCCCCAATTATACTTGAGAAACATTACTTTGCTTTACAGGCAGCTAAGGTGATGTGATGTAGCCTAGTGCAAACTTTGCAAACGAAATTCTCGATATTTTGAACTAAACATCTCCAAGGTTTATTTATGGGGGGAAAAGACAATTAGCAGTTCATGCTTCATACAATTTTCTGATTGATTCACCGGATAACATCTGAGAATGAGGTCTATTTATTTCCTATTTTATCTGCTTTTACAGTTCAGGCATCCACGTCAGTCAAATAATGCTTATTTTGTGTTTGTTTGTTTTTTTGAGTAAACATTATTTTTTTATATTTTGCCATGGACAGTGTTGACTATTAAAATCCATCAATCTTCCAAACCACCTTCCCTCTTGTGTTGCTACTAGGTGCAGCCTATTTTTCCCAATTAATTGTTATAGCTCTACCTCTGACCGAAAGGTTTTTTGTTAATGTTTTGTTAAACATCTAATAAATTTGTTTCTATTTTTTTTTCCTTTTTAGCTGGTGTCAGCTGCCCTCGATCAGTTCCTCCAGCATACCCACCCCCTCAGGAGCCAGGGGCCATTCAAGGACAGTATATGGTGACCGACGGTATATCACAACCACAGGTTTTTGAGTTTACTGAACCCAGAAGAAGTCAGTCACCATTCTGGCAAAATTTCAGCAGGTTGACGCCTTTCAAAAAATAATACTGAGATATAAATATATAAATATATATATTGAGAAAGGAGAAAAAAATAAAGAAAATTATATTTATAGATGGACATTTTTTCGGAGAAGCACTGTTGCCACTAAACTATGAAAGGACCAAAAAAAAAAAAAACAACAACAAAAAAACAAACAAACAAGACAGGAAAATGAAAAACTGTTTTTGTTTTTTTTCCCCTTAAAATAATTTAATTTAGTTTTTTTCCGTCGGACAACAGGAACTGCTCTGCTTGGAAAATTTCCACACAGCTCACTTGCTTACTCTTGCTATAGCATTCTGTCATGGCCACTGAACTTCCTCGACACCTCACTCAAAAGACTCTTGGATTTCTGTTTTTCTTCATGTTTTTTTTGTTGACCTGTTTTGGTGAAAATTGCACATTTGCTTATATATAAATAGGCAGACCATCAAATAGGGGAAGTGGGAAAATACAGTGAGAATTGAAAAAAACAAAAAAAAAATTTAAAAAGTGTACCAGCTTTCATTTCATGACTTTCACACTATAAACATCGTAACCTCAGTGGCAACAGCAGGGTTCTCAATGTATCGGAAGAGCATCTGACAGTGCGGAGGGGAAGGGGGTCACACTCAGCTCATTTGCATTCTTGTCACGTGATTAAAGCTGCAGCCATTTTTAAAGTGGTAAAACTCACAAGCAGAGCACTGCTGCACAACAACAACAACAACAAAAGTAGAAGTGGGATTTGAGAGTTCTAAATGGTTTTTTTAAGGCCATGTCAGAATAGATGCACATGGTAGGACAGCACCTAAAGCTGTCTGTGTATTTTTAAACTGCTCTTTTTCCTGTTAAATTATATGTGTTTATTCAGACGTTCAAGGCAAGTAGGTTATCTAGAAACAATTGCAATCGCTTTCTTGCCAGCCTGTTGATCCTCCCACTGATTGGGGCTTTGCCTGTTCAGGTGAAAGCTCTGTAGATCACAGTGAATCATACCAGGTACTGTGTAGTCTTTCTATTGCTTTACCTGTTCTCTGGATATTCTGAGACCAGGGAGGAGAATAATCAAACAGGGATCATTTCATCTATATTTAATGGTGACTTTATTTTCCTTCCAAAGAGTAACTTTTATTAATTTGTTTTATTTTATGGGTCTTTTCTTTTTTTCTTTTTTATATTTGTTTTACTTTGCTTTCGATGGTTCAAGAAACCACTATATGTGTATGTAAGGGTGTGTGTACATATATATATATATATATTTTAGCAGGATTTGTTTTCTGGTCACTGTGAGCTGTGTAACACTACAAGACTATCTTAATACAGACTCGTATCTGCTGCTTTATCACTCTTCATTTTTGGGTAATCCCTTTATGCTGCGGCCTGATTACTGCATCGGTGCTGCGCCCTGGAAAGCCATTTTTGACTGTAAGATCCAGCCACTCTCTCAGATGCAGTGATAGTGAAAAGGCAATAATGCTTACGGTGTTGAATCTTGGAGGAACACAACGTAACATGCAGCACCTTAGCTAGGTGGACATGCCTATAGAACTGTCAATCCAGCGACGTATGTTACAACAATTGAAGAAACTTGTTACAGAACGATTCCCTTTTGCATCAGATTTTTACATCACATCAAAAATTAGTATTATGTTATTCATTGCTTGCTTTTCTTCTTAGTTCTAACTTTACATGTCATTAACCTCCCCCCCTTTTCCCTTGGCTGTGCCCTCTTTGCATCCAGTTCGTGTTTTCCAATTGCAGGTGTTAATTTTTTAGTTTGTATGTATGGCTCGTATCCCATTCTCTTGCCTCTCTGCCTTCGTGCATACATCTGCATTGTCTCTGATTTTATATGCTGTGCAGCTCCCTGTTCTAGAAGATCTAAGCTCCTTCATTTAAATGGCTCTGTATTCCCCGTGTGCAAGAAGTAGATGGTGTCATGGCTTATTTAACAGGGCACTTTCTTTTATTTATTTATTTTTCTTGACAGCTTTCCCAAGGTGCTCTACTTTCTTTGCAGTATTTGACTTGTTTACGCAATCAACTCACCCTGCTGCTAAAGTGTATCTTGCACCGAAGCATTTTGATGATTCCCATTACTTATCACATGACCCACCTCTCACTCTGCCGACTGATCTTCGTCTTTGTGATTCAAGGCTGGCTTTTTATAGATCACCAGCAAACGCTAATAATAACAACAATGAGAAATTGGCTAAAATGTACGTTAAAGGTGCATTCAATCTTACTAATATTGACATACCGTGTCAGCCTTTAATTCTTTAAAGACCAATAAAAATCCATGCCAAAAGAGATAGTAAAGAAAACAATCAGAATTTGCGAAATAAAAATATTTTTGCCTTAAAAACAAATGGCCATTTATTTATACATTTTTTAATGAGTAACTTTTTTTTAATGAGTAAAAATAGTTATTTTTCTGTTTGCTGTCTGCCAGTAGAAATAGTTTGTTATATAACCCACAATTTTTACATTTGAAAGAATTGACATTTTAACAATTCTACACGTTCTAGATAATCATTCTAAATTAAAACAATGAATCATTCTCATTTACCTATGAAACCTCTCCAATTAATTTTATTAGAACAGAAAGAAAAGTAAAAAAAAAATAAAACAAACAATGGCATATCAGAGAACAGACTTATGCATTTTGCTCACATTTATTGTACAGCCTTAAACCAAAAGGTGACTACACTCACAACACAGAAATGTTGAAAACTTGATACCACATTATTATATTCTCGAGAGCTGCACACAAAATAGATTTTGGTGCAATTCAGGGACAAATAGTAGCAGACTTCCAGGACACAAGAAAGATGAAAAAACAAAATAGCACTGCACATACTGCCATTGGAGAGAAGTCTCTTGTCTTTGGCAGTAATATTTTTTAAAATACTAATTGTCAGGAATTTGAAGTTGATTTAAAATCTTGTGCCATTATATAATTTGGAAATGTTTTCCAATTCGCCTAATGTGGCCTAAAATTTGAATTTAAATTCCTGAAAGTGCACACTTTAGTGAATAATCCAGTATTTATTTTCTTTCGTTAACTTTGTTTTATTATTTAACCTTTATTTTCCCAAATAGTGCATGCAAGATTCCCCGAATATAATCCCATACCCTGGAATTCTGTATATTTGATTTAATCAATTAAATGTATTAAATGTATGCATAAATGTATTGTAGTGTTGGCTCTGCTGTGACCCCCAGCAACTGCACAAGCGGGTGGGTAGATCTATAGATTTCCTTACCTAGTGCTCCATACAAGGCAGGTCTGCACCTCTTACTCGGTGCAGATTGCCATGATGCTTGCTTGCAGTCAGAGACCGTAAGGGACAATTCAAAGGGGTTTGCACCCTGCCTGAAGTGCAGACCTGCACTGATGGCCCATCGACCACCTCGAAAACCACTGGACCACCAGGGTTCTAAGGCTTAATCTGGTTAATCTGGTTTGTTCTAAGGCTTAATCACCGATATAATAAATTGGCTGTACACATGACAGTTCAGGTATCCAATAAAATGCAAGATTTTGTAGCAAATGATTGCACAGAAATATTTGAAATGATAGTATGTAAATAGTATACTCCTTTTGAATAAGATATTTAAAATGACCATTGTAAAATATCACGTCAAAATTATCCATTTACGTTCATAGGATATTCACATTTTTGTTTGTATATGAAAAAAATAATCAATTTACTCCAAAGGTTGCGATGAAGTGAGAAACACCTGGAGTGTGAGAAAAAGAGCATTTCTGTTAAACTGAAGATTTTTAAACTGAAAATCTTTTTTTTATTTTTTATTTTTTTTACCAGATATTGGTACATTTAATTAAGTTTATCATTAAATTACAGAAAAAGAAAATTACAGAAAAAGAATTTGAAAAAAAAATACATTGAATTGTAAAAGGCTTATTACTTTGAGAATGAATGCACCTTTATAAAACTGTATATTATATAATGTTTTTAACATTCACACATTGTATATATTCTCAAATAAATATATATATATACATATATATATATGTATATATATATATTTATTTGAGAATTAATTGTATGATAACATTATGCAGCCTTAAATCATATAAATAGAATAAGCTTCATTGGCATTTAGAATATAAAAATGAAAATCATATATATATATATATATATTTTTTTTTTTTTATAATTTTTTTAAGAGTGGGTGTGACTGACATTAACTCATGATAACTTGTCAGATGGTGTGCCCTCTCAAAATTTGCTAAATTGTTGCCCTGCATATTTTCTTCAATACCCATTCATTTTGCACCCACATATCTATAATGCATGTTAGAATTTATGTTCAGATAACGTTCCTGGCTATATATGCATCCTCAAATTTGTCCGTTTTTTAACCCATGCAACCTAGTATCATAATAGACCCTGACATGAAATATGGTCAGTTATTCATCCCCCGAACCCTTCATTATTCCTGCAGTAAGTTAAGAGAGGCTCCCAGCGTATATAATATTCTGATAACATTCTTGGTTAGCCTGCCTGTTGTACAGGGGAATGAGTAAATGAATTACCTAGGAGAGTAGCTTTTATACAATTTGGTTCATAGTGTGTCAAGGCAGTATCATGGAAGCTAAAGAGGAATATTGCTTTGTCCATCTAAGCCTACTGATTGGCTTCAAAACATGGACCTATTGCTCCTTCAAAAGCTCTTTATTGCATTATTTTCACTAACACAAAAAAATTAATTTGTTGCAGCTTGATATTTTTTAGCAGCTGGGATATATTAGATTTTACAAATTGTAGAGGATTCTGTTAGATCAGACATGTTAACTGTGAAGGTGACACCTCAGCTGCCAATTCATTGCTTACCACTTTAAAAGAAACACCAGCAAAGATGTAAAGATATACCCTCTACATAGCTCTGTAATTATGCAAGGCTGACATTTAAATGCTCGTCTTTGTGTTTGTCTTACTTGCCCCTTCCAGCACCCTCTCTTACTATTTATTCATAACTATTTAAATTAGAGCAACTATTTGTGAGAGTACAAATCAATAAAAAGCCTGCAATGTCATGGTTTTAAATGTGCCAAAAAAAAAAGCATTGTGCCACATGTACAGACAAAGGTAACACCCTCTTACGCTATCTGTCAGTTTGAAATGTTACATCATAGTACAACTTTTCTAAACCATGACTTCAGAACTGCTCCCAGAGAACCTTAACCTGCTTAGCTTATGAATTCCAATTTTGTATACAGCATAATAACGAAGCAGGGTGTTAATCCAAATATGGTGCTATCCTCAGGGGGCATTTAAACGTAAGTTACAAGCTGCTGATCACTAAGCCACCCGTCCCCTGCTTCTAACTATGCTGAATTACAGTCTGTTTTCCGAACATATATTCTTGATGGGTTGTCCTCGTGACAAAGCATTGGTCTTACACCCCTTTAAATAATGACAGAGGAACTACCTGTGGCATTAGAATGCTTCACTTTATCAAATACTACCTTCAAGATGCTATAGAAGGGGCCACCTTTACATTTTGTGCCAACCAATGCTACACTACACTTTGCATTAATGACAAATTGAATACAATAAGATTATGCAGTACGTTGACAAATCCTAGTATTGTTCTGTTTAACCATGTGTCGAAGCATTGGTACATACTTTCACCTTGGGCTACATGCTTTAGTCAACATACCCATTTTTTTTAAACTTCCATTAGCTTTTATAAGTGTTTACAAGATGATATTGGGTAATTTAGTAGCTTCATTGAAACTTTCAGATCACTGCATTAAATGCTCTGAAACGTATTAGATCTCTGAGCACATTCAATGTTTCTGTCTAGGTAAAACAGACAAATGTATAGTGTGGCTTTTTGGCAAATTGTACAACTAGAGTGGTGCATTATGGAAAAAGTTCCTACATACTAGTGAGAAGAAAAAAAATCCTGCACACGTAGATAAAAACACTTTATACATTGATGTGCCATAGCAATGTCCTATCTACAGCAGAGTCTGCTTACCAGTGACTGCCTATTCATTAAAAAGTTAATTATCCACCCAAAGACTCCATCTATCTGTGCCAAAGTTTCTGATGCTGTGTAATGTTCTCATCAAGAATTCTATGTGTCTAATTTATCATTTAGTGGCCTTTGGTAAATAATAACACATATCTTCTAATTTACAAGTGTTCAAACGTGATTATCCAGAATACACAATCTATATGGTGATAGTAATGGTTAGAAGGAGAACCTTAAATTCTGATTATCAGACACAGATTCATTGTTTTCCATACAAGCAGCAATTTAAAAGAATTTTGATAGCATGATATCTCCCATTTTGTATATTCCGTGGGCCGTACTCCGGTCTCCCATCATATTTTTTTTTTGTCATCATTCTCCTATGGGCAGCGTAAGTTTCGTCTCTCTGTAAATGAATGTGAAACGAGAAGTCACGGGAAGTGTAGATAGTATAACAGGGCCTGCATTGGAGCTAGGCATATTTTTCTAAGAGTGATTGCACCTTTAGATGACTGGCTCCTGTAAATAGCGAAAATTCTAAACCCAAATAAAACGTTAACATCTCTCATAACAATAGTAGATGCATCCACCGTTTGTAAATATAATGACTACATAGAAAATTACATTCGAATACGTTTTATTTCAGTTAGTTGATGACAAATTTTAAATCCTCTGTATTATCGATTCCTGTAGTTGTGTTTTTTTATCACTATTATTTTAACTTTAACATATTTGGTTTAAAAAAAGTGTTCGGATCTATCGTTTGCAGCTGCAAATCAGGGAAACTATAATCTCTCGCAGCTACAGTGAGTTCTGCATGATATCACACTTTGGTTGTTTTATTTTAATATTTTATTTTTTTAAAGAGAAAAACAAGCAAAATGTACATGGGTCAATATCATTGTGACATTCGGAGAACACAGAAAAGAAGGTGGTCTTCACTTCTTGTTCTAAGCCAAAAAAACCTTGACTTTACTGCTCGGGTTTATTCAAAGTCAGAACAAAGAGGTTTGTTATTTAACTACTGTTTCCAAATGTGTTGTCTATTATGTTCTGTTTATAAGGGGTTGTTTGGCAATGTCAAACAAGTGTAACATTTTTGTGTAAAGGAAAAAAACTAAAAAGTGTTTTAAAGAGTGTTATAAGAAAACACTGAGCCTTATGAGAAAAAAAAAATATTTATGGAGATAAATAAAAATGGAAAAAGGCATTTTTAAAGTATTTTTAAATATTTTATTTATGTAAAAACAAAAGTGTTGGATCTTATTGCTCTGAAAAAAAATATGTGCATCCTGAAATGTTTTTTTTAAATGTCACTAATAGCCCAGCTTCAATGCCTAGGCATCTGTTTTGTACAAAATAAACTGTTTGTTCATCTGTTATGTACATCAAGACGGTTACAGATATTGTCTGTCACTTTAGGAGCAAGCCTGAGCATGAAGAAGATGATAGAGTGTAATAATACTACATATGGATATATATATATATAAATATATATATACATAGAGATGTATATATTTATAGCACTAACAAATTCAACAGTGCTATAAAGAATACCTAGAGAAACAAGCTGACTCTGTAGGTTTTAAAAGTTTTGTCTGCAAGCTTACACTGTCTGTTTGTCTGTCTCTCCGTGTGTCTATTTAGCTATGGTTTACATTTAACCGACAGAACACCTTATCAAATTTGCACAGGTAGTTCTTTTTGTGGAATCCTTAACACGGTTTTGCTTAACACAGTTTTGTGAAAGAGTTTTAACCCTTATATGACAAGATGTAAGCAATGACAAATCCGACATACTATTTGCCATTTCAAGATATCTAAGCGATCTTCTTAACTGCAACAGGATAAGTTAAAGCAGTTTCTTTCAGTTTTTTTTTTTTTTTTAAATCATATTGGTTAGACTTCCTGGACAGAAAAAAACAGTTTATTGCTTTTATATGAGCATCATATGTCAAAACTATAATTATGATTTTTTGCATGGACTGGTTGGAAGAACTGTTGGATTAAGCTGTTGATGTCCAACTCATTTTATAGAAACATTCCGTGGTGTTTATATTCTTACACAAATAGAAGCGGCTGTGTGTGTGAATCATTATTTATACAGATACACTTTTTGATGGGGATGTATAGTCTCAGGCCATGTCAGGAGGTTAAGGAGGTGCAGCTTGATGGCAATATGTGTTGGCAAACAATACATTATAGCGACACAGCAATGACATTTCTTTATAACCCTGTTTACCTCTAAACACAGCTTTAAATGTTTAGATATAGATTTGCCTAAAACTGTGAGCGCTTGACAATCATTCTTTTACAAACTGATTGTGTTTGACAGTTGCCACTATTCTGTTAGCAAGCCAATTAAAATCTTATTGTACTGTATTGATGTGAACGATGTAATACACAGGTTGATGGCTCTGCAAAACCACACTGTATTTTTATTTTCTTTTTATAAATGGTAAATCGACAAAAAGCACAAACATACAGGGCAACATAACATTGAAAAAACATTTTTAATTTTTTCAGAAGAACACATCGTGGTAAAAAAAAATTACAATTGAGAAACATGAAATTTCTATTAGATTAATGAAAAAGTCCCTTTAAAGACTGATGAAAGAGCAGAGTTGGGAGAATTAACTCCAAGCTGTTTTCTTTTGGTTATGCCTTTATTAAGTTTTGTTGTAATTTTCACAGTTTTGGCCTCATGTAGATCTGTACAAACCAGTATGGAAATGTGTAAATATAATTAATGTGAAGTTTTCCTGTGTGCCTAGATACATTGTGGGTGCAACTAATCTCAGAGCTCCTTCACTGCCCTAATCTGCGTTAATTGTTATACAGCAATGAGCAATGGTGTCACAGTAACTTGCATTGGATTCAAGGTTACATGAAATCATCATTGTATGTACACGAACATCCAAGATGTGTATGTGACATGTGCTATCAGCAATGAGTGGAGGCACCAAATTCGAAAACGAAATTCTAAGTTACAAGATCCATCTATTTTAATGTGTATGATTAAGGCATTACAAATAAATCTGCATTTACTATTTTAAAAAAAACTATTAAAAATTTAAAAAATTCTAATCTCTAAAATCCTGCCTTTCGTTATCCGCAGAACTGGAGTCTGCAACTAATAAAGGTCCATCCCTTATCTGCTCAGCACATTGGCATTGTTTGTGTTGGGGATTGTCCGATCATAATGAAGCACAGTGGACCAACTGCGCATGAGCAGCAATTCATATAGTTCACCTGAGCCGAGCAGGCAAAAGACTGAAGGGATTTGTTGGAAAGGGTTTAAGCTGTGTGTGCACCAGCCCCAGGCATGCAGCACTGGCTCACAGCACAGTTCAGTGCCTGCAAGTAAGCTATGCAATTGGTGTGTGCTATTGCGGATTGCAAATGTTGGACAAAATTGATATAGCCAGTATGGCTGACTGATTGACAAGGGGTGGCACCAAATCAACAACAAAATCTAACTATCTTAGAATCCTCCTTGAACCATAATTACTTTAGCAAGAAGAAGTGGTCTTAGTATTTAGAGCAAGAGACCCAAGTTATAAACTGATGGCTCTGGGATCCCATGTCCAGCATTCATTTAGAAAGTTCTGTAAGAGCAGGTACCTATGGGGTTGACTCTAGCCTGTGTATGTCTTCCCAAACACACTCTGTTTTATGCATGCATACATGGGCGTCCGCAGGACTTTTTCCAGGGGGGGGCATAATTGTAATGACATCCATGCTTGGTACCTTTTTGACAGTGTCATGAAAGGGAAGGGGCATAGCCATTATCACATAAAGCCAGGGTGAATAGCGTTTTCACAACTATGGTGTCAGGAATATATGTTTGTATTACTGACACTATAGTGTTCCTTTAAGCAAATTAAAGGACATTTCTGGTCACCATAACAACTTCACCTAAATGAAAATGCTATGATGCCAGGAAGCCCCTGGGTGCTCGCTTTTCCTTTAAGGGGTTAAATCGCTCTCAAATGGTTTAACCCCAAAGGCTTCCTCCAGCTCCAGGTCGCTCAGTGGTATTTGGCTTCTGAAACAGAGTGTCAGGAAGTGCAGATTGACGTCAGGCATGGGTGCCGCTGATTGGCTAGAGTGGTCAGTTGACGCTCTAAGCCAATCGCTAGTTCCCGGTTCATAAAATATTTTTACTTTTTTATGAATGGGGAGCTACTGATTGGCTTAGAGTGCCAGCTGACCGCTCTAGCCAATCAGCAACACCCCTACCCAACGGCACTCTGTGCTTCCTGACACTCAGTAAATAAAAGTGAACACATTAATACTGATATTTTTTTACCTTTGGAGATGAGAAGGTCCAGCGTTTCCCTGCCTGGCCCAGGTACCAAAGCCTTATGATGTGGTGTCCAGAATAAAGTGGAGGGTTCACTTCATTTGTCCTTCCTGCTCCAATCTCCTTTTCCTCTCCTTCATTTGACAGTCTTTTTTTTTTCTTCTGACACTGTTTTCTATCCTTGGCCCCTTCTGCTCTTTTACCTTTCTGCTACTTTCTGCTTATTTTGCGCCCTTCTGCTCCTTTCTCATTCTGATCCCTTTCTGCTCCTTGCAGACCTTTTCTGCTTCCTTTTCTAATTTACCTTTGTGCTCCTTGCTGTTCCTTTCTGCTCTTTCTCCTACTTTACCTTTGTGCTCCTTCTGATTCTTTCTGCTCCTTTACCTTTGTGCTCCTTGCTGTCCCTTTGTGCTCCTTCCTGCTCCTTGCAGGCCCTTCCTGCTCATTCTCCTACTTTATGTTTGTGCTCCTTCTGCCCCTTCCAGCTCATTTCTGACCCTTTCTGCTCCTTCTACTTTACCTTTGTGCTGCTTTACCTTCCAGCTCCTTGCTGACCCTTCCTGTTCATTTCTATATATCTATAGGCTGCTGCCCCCAAAAAAAATCTATGGGCTGCTGCCCCCCTCTCCAAATCTATGGGCTGCTGCCCCCCCTAAATCTATGGGCTGCTGCCCCCAAATCTAAAGGCTGCTGCCCCCCCAAATCTATGGCTGCTGCCAAATCTATGGGCTGCTCCCCCAAATGGGCTGCTGCCCCAACCAAAGGCTGCTGCCCCCCAAATAATCTAGGCTGCTGCCCTCCTAAATCTATGGCTGCTGCCCAAATCTATAGGCTGCTGCCCCCAAAGGCTGCTGCCCCCAAATCTATAGGCTGCTGCCTCCCAGGGCTGCTGCCCCCAAATCTATGGGCTGCTGCCCCCAAATCTAAAGGCTGCTGCCCCCCCCAAATCTATGGGCTGCTGCCCCCAAATCTGCTGCTGCCCCCCAAATCTATAGGCTGCTGCCCCCCTCTCAATTCCTCCACCCCATCCCCCACTTACCTGATCTGTGCTGTCTCTGGCTGCATGTGTTGCTCCCCTGCGGTTTCAATCAGCAGAGAGAATCAGGGATAAGATGCAGCTTCCTATCCCTGTCTCTCCATACACAGCCGGTATTGCAGTTCATTTTAAATCTCACACAAAATAGCATAACAAGCTGAAAAATCCAGGGGGGGGCAAGTGCCCCCCCTTGCTCCCCCTGCGGACGCCCATGCATGCATACATATCCACAATCATCATAGCTGCATACACCACCTGGACATATCCACATTACTCCTCATACGTATCTTTTACATCCCTCTTCAGTTCCATATCTCCATCATATATTTAACATATATAGCCACAAGATAGTAAAATGGAATTTCTTATTCAGTTGAGACATCAAAAGTTGTAATGATTGGGACTGTGACAGGTCCAGTTTATTCTTTAAGACATCCATCTAAAACATCAAAATGTCTGCCCACTTCCTCTGTTTGTACTAGTGTAGCACAAATCATTTGAAGGATTTAAGATTTTTCTCAAAGGCTTTGAGGGCCATATTGAATTTCTGAAATGACTGTTTCATCCCATGATTAATGGGTGACATATTGCAACGCACTGGCACTTTGAATACAGGCATATAACTTTTGTTCTAGTAATTATTGATATTTACGTACTTCGATAATCAGAGCAGGAGTAACAATAAGGTGACCTTAGGGAGTTGCATATGAGTTAGACAGGGACCCTGGAACCATGAATTTACTTGGCCCCAATTACTACCCCTATATAGGGAATGAATGGGGCCCCAAACCGTTAATCTGCACAGGGCTCTGTAAGATATTAATCCTTCTCGGCCTGTGATATGAAGTCTTATTAAGCTGCAACTACATTAAGTGCAAACATTTTACGATATCTGTAACATAATGTTAAACACGTACGTTAACTATCACCGACCAATGCTCTGTTGTTCCCGAAAACCTTGTGTGTTTGCTTTGACATACCTGATGGCATCACTGGTATTATAAAATTAAACTTGGTACATAATATTTTTAAAGGGATACTATAGTCACCCAGACCATTTCATCTTATTGATATGGTCTGGGTGCAGTGTTACTGTCCCACTTGGTCTTGAAACTTAAATCATTGCAGTTTTTTTAAAAACTGCGATGATTACTTTGCAGCACTAAGACTGCTTGTCTATCAGACCGTTACTAGAGGGATTTTAAGGAACTCTGAGTACCTTAAACATTTAGCAACGCTCTGCCTGAGGACATCCAGCATCAGTGAAATCCTCATAGGAAAGCATTGAGGCAATTCTATCCTATGGGGAAGGCCAGGTGCCCTCGCCGCGCATGTGCATTAAGTTCCCCTGTCGGAGGAACCCTTTATGTGCAGGGGCACGAGGGAGAGGGGGACCAGAGGGCACTACTGTGTTAGGAATACAACTTTGAATTCCTAACACTATAGAATCCCTTTAACAAAATGTTTTTGTATTTGTTAATGAAGATAACATTTCTGTCACTCTACAGTTTTATAACACAACCTCCCCCCCTCCCCACACATTTTACTGTGCTTAAATTTAATTGGGAATAAATAAATCCATGTCTCTATAATAATAGAAGAAAACAGTACAGGACACTTCAAAACATCCCACAGTATAATTTTACATGATCAACAATAATAATTTTATCTATGTAGTGCATTTTTCCCAAATGGGACTCTTAAGTGCTTTGCATTTCCAAAACTACCGGCAATGACAGAGAAGAAAACATGATAGCAGATTACTGGGAGAAAAGAAAGCAAGTTGAACTATGTAAGATTGCTGTAAATAGACAAATATAGGGTATATGTGCTCACTATATCTTAAGAGATGGGTGAGGGCAACAGATTATCACACAAGATTTCCCCAACTTTGTGATGACACAAATAGAACAAAACAGAAGAAAAAAAGAGATAATCAGCGCCTGTGGTTTCGTATAGCCACAAACACGTACAGATATATACATACATGAATACAACAGAATTTTGTTGATAGGTGAATCTCTTAGAAAAAAACTGAGATAACACACAATCTAAGGTAATAATTTGAAAACATATAGGGTGGTAAATTGAAATGAAAGCACACTCACACTTTCAAGAGCTATAAAGAGCTCTGCTGTTAAGGGCGTGGACGGTATAATCCCCATCTAAGTACATGTATCCCGCAGTAATGATGGTATATTCAGCAGTGATGATGGTATTTTTCTTAGTAAAGTGCGGTATGTGAAGACACAAAGAAGAACATCCAATAGCGTAATATATATAGTACACTCTTTCCTTCTAGAAGATAATAGGTATTTTACTCACATTTTTTAGAGCATGAACCTGCTCTAGTGTGGTGGAGCATTGGTGGTACAATCCCCACCTAGGATATGCAGGACCGGAAGTGTAGTAAAATTCAGGAAGCCAAGATTAAAACGTGAATACAGAATAAATTCAAATTTAAATTTAAAAGGGTAAACTTTATTAAACAAAAAAGCTATATATCAAATATTATAAAATCCAAAATGGGACAAAGCCCCAGTGTCACACTTTTGATGAAATCCCATGGTGAAACGCGTTAAGTGTGCTTTGACTCATTTTGGATTTTATAATATTTGTCACACTTCTGATGAAACCCCATGGTGAAAGGTATTAAGTGTGCTTTGACCCATTTTGCATTTTATAATATTTGATTTATAACTTTTTTGTTTAATAAAGTTTACCCTTTTAAATTTATATTTGAACTTATTCAGTATTTACTTTTTAATCTCTTTGGCTTTCTGAATTTTACTACACTTCTTGTCCTGCATATCCTTGGTGGGGATTGTACCACTACCATCACACTAGAACAGGTATATGCTCTAAAAAATGTGAGTAAAATACCTATCATATTCTAGAAGAAAAGAGTGTACTATATATTTTACGCTATTGGATGTTCTTGTTAATGTCTTCACATACCGCACTTTACTAAGAAAAATACCATCATCACTGCTGAATATACCATCACTACTGCGGGATACATATCCTTAGATGGAAATTATGCCGTCCACACCCTTAACAGCAGAGCTCTATATAGCTCTTGAAAGTGTGAGTGTGCTTTCATTTCAATTTGCCACCCTATATGTTTTAAAATTATTACACTTAGATTGTGTGTTATCTCTGTTTTTGTTTCTAAGAGATTCACCTATCAACAAGATTCTGTTGTATTCATGTATGTATATATCTGTACCTGTTTGAAGATTGCTGTAAACATTACACTTTGCTCTTAAAAGCTGCATAAACAAAAAAACACTAAAAAAATGTCCTTAGTTTCTTTGTAATTTAATAATATGTGACAAAGTGACTAGAGGGTCAATAAATGCTGAATTGGTAAGCCAGTTATAACCTCTGATTGGCTACTTTGGGCATATGATTGTTGTGGGAGCCAGTCACAGCGACTGCATGCCTTAATTTGACTACTGGAGCTGTTATTACTTCTACTGTTATTGTTGTACCCACAAATAGCATCCAGAAATTGACTGGACAGAAAGTACTAGACGGTGTATGTCAGTGATTCACTCTCTTCTTTCTCTCAACACTTGGATTTCTGGCAGAGAAAAAGATCTGACTTTAACGGGACACTCAGCATACCTAAAACACTTTAGTGTGTTTTATGTGCGAAGAATGTGTCCCCTTTTTTCATATTACAAAAAGTGCAGATTTCAATAGAAAATATATAAATTAATCTCGTTACACCAACTTGGCTGCCAGTCAGACAATCGGTCCTGTTACTTCCTGGTTGTTTAGCTCAGTGAAGCATTTGTCTTGCAAAGCCTTCTCACTGACCTGCATTGGGAAGACTGAGCTTGGACAACCATGGGAAGTCTGGGCTGGGGAAGAAAGAGAGAGCTTGCAAAGGCAGCAGACAAGAAATCTGCAGCTTCTGTCATTTTTTTTTTTTTTTTTAGGCATACCACCAATGAAAAAATGCATAATTAAATGCATGCATGTTTTCATTAGGGGTATATGTAATAAATGGTTAAATTAATTTAAAAAAAATTCCGCTGCAATGGTCCTTTGAAGTGGCACTGTCACCTTCTGGGAACTTTTCAGAATTTGCAAAGACCTCTGATGGTGATATCACCAAATGTGAGTTCTACTTACCCGAACCTCTACCTCGTGGGGGCCGACATCTTCTCCCGGTAGGTCCTCTTTAGTGTGAGAGTATAACATTAAGGTCTATAAAAGAGCCCACAAGATTATGGGATCTTTGATAAATAAAGCCAATTTCCTGCAGCCGTCACTGATGATGGCTGATGACACTTCTAGATGGCAGTAGCTCCGCCCAGTGTCTAGAAGTGTCAAGCATAGGCAATATACAGACAGAGCAGTCCCTACTTTGTCTCAGTATATCTGTTGATTGGGTTGGAATTTCAGTGAAATTCCAATATATGCAATAGGAGCATTTCATAAATATTCTCTTTGTGAAATATTGATTTTTATTTCTATTTAAATGTTTATGTAATATTTATTTTTCATGTAGTTGTTTTAGATTCCTGCATTTAAAGCCTCACCGTACCAAATATTACAAAGGTTTAGTTTGAAACAGTTAAGTACTCCTTCTAATATTTAACCTATAACTGCCAACATGATAGAATCCTACAGGATGAGACAGGGATAACAATAGGTCAGGACTTTTCATGGCACAGCAGACAATTTTAAAATTATGGTTGTAAGGGTTTTCTTGCAGATTTTCTAGATCTAAAATTTTATAAAAATACCTCATTGTCACACACAGGTCCACACATATAGGCACTGCAGTCAGTCAAAGAGAGATATTCAAATATACATATTTAGAAACATACAGATACACACATACAAGTAAATGCTCTCATTCCATAATTTGCCAACTTCTTATAAAACCAGAATATTGGTGCCATGCTCACTGTCTGTACCTCAAATTTCTTGTCTTCAGACTCTAATTCCAACATGGATCTGATGACAAGTAACTTCAGTTGAATAAGAGATGGACTCCTTTTAGAGGCCAGAGAATGTGCTGTGTTTCGTGGGTGGCATTCAACTAACTGTAGCTGAGCTGGTGGTCACAAGCCTCTCTCTGTATTGCAAACAGAGTGAGAGAGAGGAAGCAGTGGCCCAGTGTGGCCCTACAGAAATTACTGTGGGTCCTCTTGTGTCTTACTGCTGATAGGCAAGTAGAAATATTGCAGCCAAGCACATTCCTGCACAGGCCATAGAATAAAGCTATTCGCACTTAAAGTGGCTCTGTCATGGCATAGTTACCCTTCCTCGATCAATTCTTCTTTTCTTCCCTGTTTTCCAATATGTTCTTTTCTATTATTTTCTCTTCTTTTCTTAAATACATAAGCCAGGTATTATTTCTCTGCTTGACAAAACTTGACAAAGCCTTGCATGAGATGAGAGGGAATGAGTTACTGGGCTAAGATTGGAATCACTAGAGGAAAGAGAAGAAGGCAGTAACAACACTGCCAGGCCACTATAGATGGTGCCAGGTGGAAAGAAGATCAAATTCCATAAACAAAGTATATTTACAAAGCAAAAACAAGAGTCGAGCAGGAATTAAAAATGAAAAAGACCTGTGCCCATGACAAAGATATTCTAAAGGCCAATTGCATTTACCTAGTGTGTGGTCAGTGTGGGGCTGAACTTTTACGCATATGAGGTATTCTAAAAATCAGGACCAATAATTTATTTATATTTTTACATTTTTATCATCTATCACAGTTGTGTACAAATTATTAAATGGAAAAACTATTGAAATTAAATGTTTTTTTCCATCTTATTTCCACATTGTTAAAATATTGTATTTAAATGAAATATTGAGTAATATAAGTGCACATGTTATCGAAAGAATATTCTATCTACCTTAAAAAACAACATATATCTAGCTGCACAGGAACAGATGTCTTGACTGAATAAACACGTAGCAAAAAAAAAACAAAACAAAAACCAACTAAATTAGTTTTGTCAGTATGTATCAAAACTAAATTAAAAAATAGGCATGAAGAAGTTAAAGTATACAAAATCTACGATTGCTTCTATGATTCTAGCTGTCAGAGAGATACAGAATGTCAGTGTTGGGAAAGCTCATGCTGTAGAGGGGAATAAGAAGATTCCCACCTGCAAAACACAGTGGGTGCTTTGACATGTATCTTCTTAAGGTAGCTGACCGAGCAGTGCTTTATATGGAAGTGCTGCATCATAGGAAGCCAGTATAGAGCCCAGCGGACAGGAGTTACGTGGTAGGAACGTGCATTGTTTGCTAATAACCTGACTGCCGCATTCAGGACCTGCTGAAGCTCTCTGTTAGAAGAATTATCTAGAGGCAAATGCCCAGCTATGATGATGCCAAACCAATCTATGGAGGTCTTCAGATGTTAAGGCTTCAGGTGGAAATAGTATATTCCTTAGATGGGCACATTCAAATCCTATTATGACTGACACTTGATGTTTGAGTGTCACATTTCAATCTAAATCTATTCCAAGGTTCAACATTGTTATTGATTTTACCGGTTTCAAGTTTACGAAATACTACATTTCATGGACTCAATGATTTTTGGTAAATTGTGGTGGTGCATTAAGTAGCTTCTGTCTGAATATACACTAAAGTCCTGGCAAATCCACTCTGTGTTAGATAACACTCGGTATTAGATATACACATGGAGATATAGTGTATATTCAGACAGAAGAAGACTTGTGGACATTGTTTATTTTTTATGGTATTTGGCTTGTTCTTATTTTATCATTATTTGGTGTTTTTACTTTGTATTAATAAATATATTTGGCCTTATTACCTGTTCCACTCTATGCCTGTATACCTGCTTTCATCTAAAGGAGGGTTGGATCCTCCTCCATTGGCACACTAGGCATATACACTGAGAGCTAAGTTTACCTGGCTGTTCAGAAGGTGAGCAATCTTTTGCACTTCTATATTCATCACTGCACTTTTGATTTACACTAGGAGCTTTGCCTCTCTTTTGTGCTATTCCTTTCTTGAGTTTCCATTATATAGAAGACAGAAGATGTCCTGGATCACCAGCGTATACCCCCGCTGTTGAGATCTAAACCTGTCCTTGTGTGGCTCTAATCTATGAGAATATATTGAACATATTACACTATATATACACTTTTCTTTTCTAGCATATTCAATCAAACATATACCTTCACCTTTTTTTAAAGGGTAAGTAATATTTAGGTAGCACTCCACTGGGTTTATGTGAGTGTACCACCATCACTCAATTCACTCTGTTGTTTGCATAGTTTCAAAATAGCTGCCCTGATTCCAAGTGATGAAATGGCATCCTCTTTTTCCTAATAGACATCTGCATGCTAGGAATTGTGGGGTGCTAGTTGTGTCATGGAGGTTGACCAGTTCCACTCATTTCATGTTACGCAAGGGTGAACAGGTATATTCATTTTTTAATCTATAAACAAAGAGGCAATTTCACCAGCAGAGTCTGTAGATTATATCTATACTTAATAGGATGTACATTTTATATCTACATGATTTGTGGACGACAGGTTCACGTTAAGGTTCCCTGAAGACCCCAAAGAATATACTCCAACTTTGTTTACCACATTTGTAGCTTTATTGGAAAACACATCAGCACAATAGGGAGACCTAGAGAAACCTCCCCCTTCCACTACACACCAGGAACTCTTCACTTCTTCAGTGCATTTGTCAAGAAAAGATGAGCAAGTTGGCAAAGTCCTCTGATAAGCCAAACGTCTATTTGGCCAAGGATGGGAAAGGTAGAGAGCATTTTAGAATTATTTAATTTAAATCATAATATGCATAGACAGAAGCATTGCACTAAGGTTTCTGGATAAGGCTTTTTAGCATCTGTCAGGTTACCTTGTCTATCAGTCAGGGGCATGTCACAGCCTGGCGTCACATTGCAGGGTATTGGGGACACTCCTACCAACTCTCAGCTTGTCCCCAGCGATTCTCACGCCAGCCACAATAACCCGCCTCATTTTATGATGCGGCTAATTAGCACCGACGCTAATAACGCTACGGCCCTCCAAAGTGTTTGAACGAGAACATTTTGGTGGTGTGGTTACCTACTTAATTGAACACTGTATTTAAAGAGAAACCAGGGAGAGACTCATTGCCCTATTGTGGTTCTTGATAGACCCAAGAGCGCGTATCTCGTATTGGTATTCTTGTATTCTGACTTTGGCTTCCTTTGACTGTTCCTCCTTCTGTGTTCCTTTGACCTGGGCTATTGCATTATCGTTGATCCTGATTTCTGGTACCCCTGACCTCGGCTCGCTATTGACTATTCTTTGTGTATTTAGTGTAAGTCCGGCCATCTTAAGTTCCAGTATACATTACTAATATTTACATTCTGTGTGTAGGATCCCTGAACATTCCTGACAGCATCACACTATACTTAGCCATAAAGACTACATATAAGCTTTGATATTCACTTGTGAATTACAGCCAACTGTCTTCTTTAAGCTTTTGTCACTCATTTTAGTATACAGTATGGTACATCCAAGGCTGACCAGTGGTACATACAGGGCCTAGGTGGGTCCATGAGACCCAGGTGAAACTTTTAGGGGTGGCATCATGTTAGGCATTAAAGGGGCAAAGAACCCTAAGAAATAAGAGAACCTTTACATGTGTGTATGCCTGTATGAATGAACGAGCGTCCCCCACCTGTTGGAATAATATTACCCATTGAAACCTTTTTTACTGTTTCGAAACAGGTTATCAGCACACTTGCAGCGATTCTATCAGTACTACAAAAATGCACGAGAGGGCACCAGATGCAAGTATATAAATGAACACATACTCAAATCCTCTACAGGCTGGTAATCATTCCTAGTGTAGAAGTGAGGGTGAGTAAGACTCTTTGGACTAAATTGTATGCAAAATGCATGAAAATAAAAAAAAATGTTCATACTGGTGGTTAAGCAAAATAACTTGGGAAAAAATCCCCTCTGCCTCTGCATTTCCTGCACCCAGTGCGTTTAGAAAGAGGTGTCTAGAGGTGTGGAGGTCCTGATCCAGGGCTGGCAGGGAGATTTGGAAGGGCCTTTATGAGGGACTCAGAGGTTACTAGAGATCCTGTGAAGGAATAAGCAAAAAGTGTTTCAGTCTACCAGTACATCCTGGCTATGGTGGTAATGAGTAAACTCTACAGACCCCGATGCCACCTTGTTGTGCACATTTATACTGCTTGTGGATAGCCACCACCAATTGTGCAAACATGGCCACATCCTCTCCCTATCCTATTCCCCCTTTCCTGACTCCCATCACAGTTGAATTGTGCATGCATGGGATGTGCATCTGTGGCGAAAGTGACCTCGTCACTGGTTTATGGAGGGGCCTGTTTGCCAGCCTCCTACCCTGTGACTATGGCCTCTTTAAATTATTGTGGTTGAGCGACCCTATTTGTGTCTATTGGAACTTTAAACAATGGTTCTTCGAACTCTCGAACAGTCGAAGTGGCCGCCATTCGACATTCGAACACGTGGTGGCGGCCATCTTGTTCGCATGGACAAAAACCGTGAATAAGCTTCAGGGGGACTTAGCCGCAAATGCCCTGGAACTATGTTCGGCATGAAAACCTTGCGGTTCCCGGTCGGTCCTCCAGCGGCACTTAGCTGCGATTCTATGGAACTATTTTGAGCATGAAATCCAGTGTTTGCCTGGGCAAAACTATGACTTCCATAGAATTTCTGAACCCCTGATCTGATCAAGGTGATTTTTGGATATGTTGGTCACCTAGATCAGAGGATGTAAGATTTATGGGGTATGGTGTATTTTGGGGTACTTATTGGACTTTATAAAAATTTATTTTTTCTGAGTGGTGATAATTAAGTTAATGCTTTATCTGCCTTAATTATATCACAGGCAGAGGGGAGGGATTGTATGTGTGTCATGGGAGTGACGTACAGTTAATTACGGTTTTCATTGGTTTATTCCCTTTGTGTCCCTGTGCCCAACAAGGTCCACCTGGGCATTACCCTTGTTTGGAAACATGCATAAAAGGCAGTGTAAAAGGCAATACTGAGTTCTGTCTCTTATTGGGGGAAACTGCTATATCACTACAAGGGATTGCTATGATCATAATACTCCCTTGGATAATCACTAGCTCTTGTAAGAGGAAGAGAGGTTCACCCACTGGAACCTGAAACCTTGTCGTAGGTCCAGGGTGGGTAGGAGACGGCGAGATCCCAACCAAGCTGCGGCGATTCGAGGGGTCTGCAGTGTTTATGGTGTCTGGAGAAGTGCTTGGATTCCTCGGTGAGCACGAGGAGCATCCGTCAGCGGAGGTACCCAACTGGGGTACAGAAAGCTCCGTTACACCTTATTTACCATATAGTTGTGATTATCATGATGACACCATTGAAAGTGGAAGTTTTACTATGTAGCACATGAGTTAATAAGAAGCTACTGTTTAAACACAGATTGTGTTAGTAGGAGTGGACATTAATAACAATAGGCTAAATCCTGGACAGTTGGGTTGAAAACCTGTTAGTAATTTGTAGATGCTAATATCTACCAGGTGTTGTTAATTAACTCTGATTATGGCAAATACTTCCAATGTTAAAACAAGCTCCGAGTTTATACAGTGGGCACCTAAACCACCTTTGCTATCGCCCTAGCTAACCATACGAGAAGAATATAAAGAATTTCATGTCAGCTCTTACAGTTTAAAAGGGAAATTGAAAAGTATGGAATGTAAGAATTGAGATCAGTTCCCATGAGAGCTCTAAAAGCAAGCTTTATTATCAAATACCCTTCGGTTTTCACTGCAGGTTATTGTTTATAACGTGCATCCATACTTGGATCTATATTTGTATTTACATTACTCTTGTTTAACACATTTGTCATGAATTATATGCCAGGAAAATGCAGGTTTCAGCAAATATAAGAAGTGTGAATACAACTTTTAGGAGGAGATGCAATCCGCAGGGATTTCCTGGGACATTCCCATTATGTTAATTGGATTACTCACGTGCATATGCAGTATGTTTTTTTGTTTTGTTTTTTGCAGTGCTTAGATTCTTTTTTGTTTATTTACTTTTTAATGAACATATAATATAGTAAGAAAGCAGGTTAGTATTTCCAGATTATTGCAGTTTTTAAAATTAATACATAAATAACATACATATAAATACGCATACAAGACATACATGTACACATTACTTGGACAAGGAAAAAAGGAAACAAAAAGGACACCAATGATGTGGTACAGGATCTAATGAAGGAGAGCGAAAAAGAGGGGGATGTATCCAACATGCATATGAACATGAAGCTGTCATAATCCATCGTCTGATGGGTTGGGTTGTGTCATTCAGGGGATTCCCCAATTGATATCTTCATATTTACTGGAGGATATTTCCAGAAAGTCAGGTGCCTTCAGAAATCAATCTTTGTATATATAAAATTCCAGTTTATCCAACCATGATTTGTTATAGATGAGGTCTCTTTCTCCATCTCCAATTGGTAGGAGGTTTGTCTTTTTAATATTTCCCAAGTTGGGATCTCACTCTGCCTCCAAAATCTGGCGATATTGTTTTTGGCTGCCATCAAAACGTGTGTTATTAAATACCTGTCTGTAAGTCCCATT